CTCGGCGGGCTGGCCGGAACTCCGCGTCTCGCTAAAGCTCCCGTTCAGGAGGAGCGACCGTAACCCCTCTGGCCGGAGCGTTCTACGCCGCCCGCGTGTCCAGAACCGGTTCGCGGAAACCGCGGCTCTCGCGAGAGACTCGCGGAGTTCGACCGGGATCGCAGCGGTGACGTCACCGAATGGGACGTCACCGAATGGGACGTCACGTGTGTGGAGTTTCTGTTCAGTTGGTTGGAAAAGAGCTTTGTTCTGCTGCTGCGTTAGCATTTCATTTATAGGGATTTATTCAGAGATTGCTCAGGGAGCAGCCTATTGAAGTCTCAGTTTCCTAATTTGTAAAATAAAGATAATCATTTTACCCCCTGTTGCTACTTGAGCACTGTATCAGACGTTTCATTCATTGGCATTTATTCAGAGATTGCTCAGGCAGCCGCCTCGTTAAGTCTGTTTCCTAAAACTCTAAAATAAAGGTAATAATTTCGCCACCAGGACTATATGAGATGTGTCCAAAAATCGAGCACAGTATCTATTACACATTAAGCAAACCAAAAAGCAACAAACCCCTTGTCATTAGGACGATCCTTCGTGTTTCTTTCTAGACGGTAATCTTTATGGAATCAGATTATCTTCTACCAGCTGCCGGGTGGATTCAAAGCACCAATCTTAAGGTTAGTTGAATGCAAACCATTGGCTTCAGGCAGTTCAAATCCACCAGCAACTCTGCAAGGAAAAGATTTACAGGATTTCTGCTCGCGTAAAGATTTACAGTTTAGAACCCCACAGAGCCAGTTACTGTCCTAATACGGTTGCTAAGAATCTGAGCTGTCTCCATGGTAGTGAGTTTGGAGGATGTGCTAGGCTAGGTTCTGTGGAGAGGCAAAACCAGTGAGGCTTATTCCTATCAAGCAAATGGTTCACAGTTGTTGAAGCAGATAAACCCAGGCTGGTTTCAAGTCTGTGGGTCAGATGTTACGCTGGAGGCCTCTCCTGACGCTGGTAGCTTCCATGACCGATGAACCCAGGATCACCAACCTGCAGAGGCAGATGATGCCAAGGTCAGCAGGTCAAATATGTCTGGAGAGGCCAAGCATTCCAAGGTCGAATGAGTCCAAGTCAACGGGTCAGAGGGCAAGCCACTGATGCTTCCCAGGAGCAGCGGGCATTATGGTAGGCTGTTGGTGCCAGATCAAAGAGCTAGAAGTCAAGGAGCCAGACCAGGAAGCAAGCACACTTCCCCTATGAGTCTACTTCTATAGGAATTTGGCCGCCCCTGGGGAAACTTCCTTCTATTACATCCAAGCTGTGCCCTAAGTAAAGGGGTTATACTCCTAATATTGCAAAGATATCCAACTGTGTGGACCAGAACAAAGTATGGTTAGCCTTGAGAAGAATGGCAATTCCAGAACACTTGTGTTCATGCAGCAACTGTACATGGGTCCAGAGGGCAGTTGTTTGAACAGAACCAGGAATGCTGCATGGTTTGAAATCAGGAAAAGTGAACCGGGAGTGTTCAGTCTGTGGGCTAAGCACATAATCAGAGAAGCTGGAATATATGAAGAATGTAATATCAGGATTAAAGAAAGGCTTATTAACAACCTGTAATATGCTGCTAATACAACCCCTTCCTGTTACATATGTGCTTACCGAGGCTTGCATGCCTGAGAATATATAAGCTTGTGAGAATACATTCTGCCCGTGACCACACACCCCCCACCTCCATTCTGGTTCCAGTCTCCATCTGAAGAGGCAAGCCCTTCCATGTCTTCTCTGATCTCTCTTTAATTTACCCCTCAATTACACAACCATCCCTTAGGACCCATGTGGATGTGGGGCTGGTTCCCACAAGAGAACTATGGACCTTAAACAGGAGAATTGCTCGCAGAATGGTCAAAAAGACCTCCAGGGGGAAATCTTCCGTGAGATGGATTGGCACAGCGGTTACAACAATGGGCTTACACATAACCATGACGAGGATGAAGCAGGAGCAGGCAGTGCTTGTTCTGTTGTGCATAGGGACGCTATGAGTGAGAGCCCAGTCATTGGCACTGACCACCACCACCTGGCATACATGCCGTACATCAAACATATTACATAGTCAATGGGTGTATCATAAGCCTGTAGCCCAATAACCAGGCATGAAATGACTCAGGCCTTGACCTAGTGCTAGTTGACCTTGAACACTCCTGAGCCCTCCCCAGGGGTAGTAATCTCTGATCATTATCAGCAAGAGATGTCGAAACAGTTTGCTACATTTGGGGTTAGTTGTAGAACTTGATTGTTCTTAGCTACCGATAACCTTCCGATTGAGATGTAGCCAGACACCAGTATGAGCCAACTTTTATGGTAGCTCCATTCAACTGTTCCTTCATGGAGGGCTATTGGGGATAAGAGGTGGGCACATTTTCGGTCTGGAGAGCATGTATTTGAAAACATTTCTAGCTTGGAACAATGGAGATCTTTTGCAAAATAGGACTAGTTTTCCATGCCCATGGTTGCCAGTGTAGAAATAGGGCCAAATGCACTGTACCAGGTCCTCCGTTTACCATACAGCATTATTTCAATATTTTTAATGTATTCTGAAAATTCTGTCCCCACCCTTCCTCAATTATCTGGTTTTGTTTACATTCCTGGATTTTTTTTCCTAACCGTAATCCTAACCCTAACCCTACTTTCCTGGATTTTGTTGGGAGTAGGAATGGGCCTAAGACCCAAAGACCAGAGTATTAACACAGGTGTTAGCCTGTTGTTAACTCCAAGAGTGGCCCCAAACCATTGTTAGCAATTGTCTCTATCTATCATCTATCTATCAATCATCAATCTATCTATCATGTATCTATCATCTATCTATCATCTATCATCTATCTATCTATCTATCTATCTATCTATCTATCTATCATCTATAGCTCTATTTCTCTCCCATTCCTTGGCCATCCCCATATGCCTGGCCAACAATCTTCACTTGGGTCTATGAGGCTCTTGGCACAGGGTCCTCAGGTCCGGAGTACTGTTGCACACAGAAAGATTTCTCCCAAGTGTCTCCCTCAAATATATGTCAAACCTAGCTGCTCGCTGCACATGGTAAATGATTATACATTTGGAGGTCCAGAAAAGCAGGTCAGATACTCTCCCTAAGAGTTATCAGCCATCCAAAGCAATCAGACTGTATAGTCTGTCCCACCCTAAGTAGAGCTCACTCTCTTCTGATAAGGACTGTACATCATTTCCCTGAAGGAGAGCCCAGGGAGGTCAAGCCCACTCAAGGGTGACCAAGATGAGGCTGCCATATTGAGTCTAGAGTCTGCTCATCTAGTTACATGTACACCCCTAGTTCCTCCGCTACCTATTATGAGTACACCCCTAGCTCATCCCCTTCCTGTCATGCTTACGCCTATTGTACATCCCCTTCCTGTGATGTATATGCCTACTGTACAGCCCCTTCCTGTGATGTGGTTACTTGCAATCATGCCCCCTAAGTATAAATATAGATATAGATATATAGATATAGATATATAGATAGATATATAGGCCTTGGCCAGAAATAAAGAGAGAGAGTCCTCCTGCCCTCTCTGCCCACCTGTGCGTGGACCTGGCTGGTGAGATCATGGCTGTCCAGGAGGTGAGCATGTTACTATGAAAGGTGTCTGACTCCTTCATTTTACTCTCTCTCCTATCTCTGTAATTCTCTATGACTTTAGAGTAATCTTTATATATCATAACCATACAATTGCAGTTACCAAATCTGTGATTAATTGTGGGGGGCTGGTTTCCCCCACAAAGCTCCTGGCTCTTCTTTCTAAGTAGTAACCTTCCTCCTTCTCCACTCCCTTCTCTCTCCTTTTCCTCTCAAGTAAGATAAAGGCCCCTTTTGCAATGATGTGCCTCCCGAGGAAAGGCCTCTTACAGAGGATCAGGGCTGTGATCTAAGCAAAGGGTGCCGCATCCTGTCCTCATACCCTGACTACTGCCTTCTGGTAGATCGTGGGGGTGATTGCATCGTTGCAGAACTACTAAAGCATCCCACCCTCATCCCTTTACAACTGACTCTTGATCCCATCGTGGCAGATGATGACATCATGACATCACTTTTTGGACCTCCCCCTGCTTGTCTATTAGATAAGCCACTGAATTGGGTGGATTATGATTGTTAGAGAATACTCTGGACCTTAGGAGATGCTGCTGGAGCAGGAAGGTGAACAGGGTTATGATTGCTGCCACTTCTCTTAAGTAGTCCACATGGTCAAATAGTAGTATTTATAATATGAGAAAGACAGGTCCGGCAAAGGCGGACCAAACCAAGCCAAACTCACTGCCATCGAGTCCACTCTGACCCCTAGCAAGTCTGTAGGATGGGGTCAAACTGCCCTGTGGATTTCCAAGGCCTTAAATATTCATGGGAGCAGAAAGCCTCTTTCTCATTTGGGGCCACTCACTAGTGGATTCAAGTCTGTCACCCTGCAGTTAGCTGCTGTGGTAGTTACCTAATCTAGTGTCAATTTGAGAGGATTACGAGTGAATGGGGTGGAGTCTGGCCTGTCAATCATGATATAACCAATGAGGCCTCTGTGTGGGCATGGCCTTCTCCTGAGAATTCTGGGAATTCCTGGTATTTCCTCCTTGGAAGGGGGGGGGTCCTCTCTCTCTCCCTCCCCCTCCCCTTCCCCTCTCCCTCCCCCTCCTTCTCCCTCTCCCTCTCCCTCTCTCCTGACAAGTCTGACTCCTGCGGAGACATCCCTGAGGAGAAGCCATGTGGATTTACCCTGATGGAGCCCTGGGTGCTGAAGAAGCCATGTGGAGACCTCTCTCTCTCCCTCCCCCTCCCCTTCCCCTCTCCCTCCCCCTCCTTCTCCCTCTCCCTCTCTCCTGACAAGTCTGACTCCTGTGGAGACATCCCTGAGGAGAAGCCATGTGGATTTACCCTGATGGAGCCCTGGGTGCTGAAGAAGCCATGTGGAGACCTCTGCCAGCGCTGAGATGCTTCCAGTGCCACTGGATTGTGATCTTCCTGTCATTGTATGTGTTGTGCGTCTGAAGAGAACTTTATAGATTGGTATCTGGGACTCGATCTGGACTGGTCTGGGATGTTTTCTAAATATTCAATTACTCTTGTATATAAACCTCTTTCTTTTGCACATATGAGTGTCCCTGAATGTGTTTCTCTTGTCCACCCAGACTAACACAGCTGCTCGGTGTGCAAGTCGCTCCGCCTCCAGAGCCCCTTGCTACTGTGGACCAAAATCAAAAGCCGCACTGCCATCAAGCCCATTTTGGCTCATCGAGGCCAGGGTAAAACTGTCCCTTGGGGTTGCCTACAGAAACCGATGGTTCTCCTCTTCCTCCTGCATATATGGACAGATATTAATCATTGGAGGATCTAGGTCAAGAACATGCAAGTGGTCATTGTACAATTCTTGCAACCTTTCTGTGAGTTTGAAGTTTTCCAAGAGATAAAGCTTAAAAGAAAAAAATCCTTGTAGAAATTAAACATTTCATTGAGGGCAGCACCCCTGACAAGACAACCAGCTGAACCAGGCTCTCCAGGACTTGCTTTGTGGACTGTCTGCTTAGGATGGTTTTCCAAAGTCCAAAAGACCTGCGGGTAGAAGAATGGAGTTGAAAGCTGTGCTCCACCACCAGACTCACTTCCCGAGCATCACACTCAACCAAGGCGTAGATGTGACGTCTGCAGAAAGCACCGTGCCAAGTGGCCCCACAGTCACGCCCAATCTAGGATAAGGTATGCCTTCTCTCCATGACATAAGTCTCTCGAAAGCCTGCTCTTTGCAGCTCCCCTCCAGCTTTGAGACTTTATTGATAACATTTGGATTGTGAGTTATATGGGGGATTTACGTTTCAGACCATTAACTTGGCACGCAACGGTTCAAACTGCTCATCAAGCCCACCTCAGCCCCTCTCCTAGACTCTACCTCTCCTCTCCTCCCCTGATTTCTCTTCTCCTTCTTATGGAACGCTGTCCTCCCCTTCACGCACGTCAATGTCTCCAGTCTGCGGCTGCATCCTCCCACTCCTGTCCTCCCTGCCCCGGGAATCTCCGAAGTCTATTCCTAGTCCCTTTGTCTGGGTTTGTATCCTTATAGGAGTGGGTTCACACAGCAATTGTCCCTCTGTGATTGACTAACTTCACTCCAGGTCCAACTGTGTCCTGAGGTGCTTTGTGGTTTCATCATTATTTTTTAGGGATGCATAGTATTCCATTGTGCGGATGTTCCAAAGTTTCATTTTCTAGTCTTCTATTGATGGGCGTTTTGACTGTTTACAACTCCATGCTATTGTGAGCAGTGCTGTGATGCACATGGGAGTGAGTGGATGTGTCTATTCATATAATGGCTCTTACATCTTTAGGACACATATCCAGCAAAGGGATTGCTGGCTCATACGGAATGGCTATTCCCAGTGGTTTAGCGAGAGCACCCTATCGCTCTCCACAATGGTTGGACACAGACTGTCTTACCAGGAGATAGTACGGTTGGTATGAGGGACACTGCTGGCTGCCAGTTGTCCAGCGCCTCAACTTCTCTTATCTCATTCTTCAGCTTGTTGGCCTCCTCTTTCACCCAGAAAGGCAAACTGTAAGGTGAAGAAAACATCCTCAGTCCAGATGTGTCTGATGCAGAATTAAAAATGCTGCCAGC